CCCCCTCGCAAGAGTTAGTTTTTGAACTTTGAAACAAAAGGCAAAAGGTGGCCTTTAATAATGACGCGTCGTTTGCAGTTGCCGGTGTTGGGGCTGGAATTGCAGCGACAGCGTGATGAAGCTCTTTAAGTTCGTGTCGAAACGGTAAACCGACGTCTCCTTGACCGAGACTCACGAAGCGATTCGAAATCTCAGCAATTACCAAAGCCGACGGAAGTATGCTTCCACATATAAAGTAGTCGATCGAATATCCATGCATTTGCGTGTTCTACATGCACATTCGTGGACACTAGTGGCCGTGAACTGCATCTCAGCACTACCGGTATGCTACATAAGTTAGCTGACCGATAGATGCCACCACCAAGGCAACTGCAGTGAAGCTTTACACAGCGGCATTCAACCCGTAGCTCGATGGGTGTGCTTCCATCGACAGATCACTCAATCGGACGATCCACAGCTGGGCAGAGGAGTCGGACTCGTGTATCTCGGGCTTGGAGAAGGAAGGGCAAGGGCCTCAAACACTCGCAGCAAGACTCCATTACATGAGGCGTGCGCTACACTCTCCATCGCACGTGCGAGCGTGTCCTTCTCAATATATTCAACAACAGAGTAACCTACCAGCCCTTACGCTTTATATTTCCAGACTGCAACCGACGCCAGCTTTTTGGTGGAGCCTCTGCCAACCTCCTGCAAAGGACAAATCGAGCGAGAAGACACAGAAACAATCCAGACCCATACGGCGACCAGCCCAAGGCTCCACCTTGAATCAAATACACATCGCGTCTCTTTGCGTGAAACGATCGAGCAAAGCGCCTCTCGAGCTCAGGAGCGAGCACAACTCAGTCGTCCAAGAACCAACCGACTAAGACCCACCAGATCCCATCCACTTGTCCGTCATGGCGCTTCGAGCTCGATCCACCAAGCGCGCGCGTCCGCAGACGTCGCCCAGTGCCAAGCACGTGAGTTGCGACGACGTGTATTTCCGCCAAGCGGGACTCGTGGACAACCAGCTCGACGACCAGCCGCGTCGTAAGCGTGCGATGGTCTCTGCTAACCTACGATTCCTAGAGAAAATGCCTCCGTTACGAGACTACCAGCGCGGCCGCTTTGGGCGTCGAGGAGGCGTCGACGGCGGCGCTCCGCACGCTTCAGACGGCGGCAGTTCGCTCTGGATGCGAGCGCTGGAAGAGTCAATGGAAGAGACGAGCTTCGTGACGCGCGAGGCGCCTACCTGTGCGGCGTTGGTGGCTCCTGTGCCTATTCCCGTGGACAACCGGAGGAGTACAAGCTTCGTCCCGGTCCCCGTAGCAGTGCTCGGAGCCGGACGGGTAGCCATCTCGGCCTCGCCCAGGTTCAGTAGTGCAGACGAGGACGCGATCCGGAGACGACGGCTCTTCGCGTTGCAAGCGGCGCGAGGCGGCAAAGACGACGAGGCTCGACCGGCCACAGAAGGCTTGGCCTTGTAGCTCAGGAGGGTTTTTGGTGCGCTTATTCCGTAGGAATGACGACTGCTAGGACTTTTGCTCTACGTTTGTGTGGTGTAACACTCGTCTAGCTAACGTCTCTGCGCACCTCATTGATCGGAGCTAGAGGCGGACGACCTTGGTCACTTACCTGGCTGTCGGTATCGAGTTCGTCGCCTAGAATACGGTCCCATTTCTCCTCTGCCGACATGGCAAAGGCGTTCTGCTGTATAGTACGTTGTGAGTGTCGAGGTGGCAGCTTCCAGTTGAGATGGCTGCTGGCCGTAGGGCTAGATGGCCGTCCGCAGCCGAACGGTGTCGGCCGGACGAGCTGCGATTGACTGCCGGCGTCTGATACCCGTGAAGACAACGACGAAGACGACAAGGGACAGCCAGATAGTTTAGGGCGCTTGGCTTGAGGAGGGGCGTTCTCTTCATCTGTCAGGCGGTCGTCTGTGGTGAGTCCAAGGCTGGACGTGCGACCTTGGTCAACCTTGCACAGTACTTCCCCTTCAAAGCCGCTGCCTTTGCCATCTCGTCTTCGATTAGCTGGGTTTCGCACGCGCTTAACGTGGTCTCGTACAGGACGACGCTCGAACTCCTTGAGATCCTGCGCGTTGATGCTGGAGCTGGGGAGATCGTGCAAGGCAGCGAGCGGCTTGAAGTTCTCACTTACCTTTGGGCTTCGGAAGTTGACGATGTGATCGGAAGAGCCCAAGACGCTGTCAAGGTGCGTCCAGGATGATCGCGATGACGGGCGTGGCTTCTCGTAGCGGAGACGTGAAATCGCAGCTCGAGTGTTGACTGGATCTTCTTGGGATGAGTTGTTAGTGCTTTGGTCGTCACGTCGGTGGGGCAGGATCATGCCGCTGCTTTCGGATGATGTAGAGGACCGGGTTCTGCTTGTGTTTGGCTTTGAAGTCGTCTGCTCATCGAGTAACATGGTCGCAGCTGTATCTTTCCACACGTAACTTTCGTGTGTTATTGGGTGGATTTCGCCCGCCGCGATGGACGCAACCACGTCGTCTCGAAGCTCCACATTGCCGAGAAAGTGAAGTCCTTTATCCACCAGTGGCAGAATATCTTTCGAAATGTCCAGAGGACTCAGCATTTTCAACTTCTGTTAGATCAAGCAAAAACAAAACATTAGAAATAAAAAAAATGGTAATATATCTAATCAATTCAAACGTACTGCGTCACGGGGATCAAACACGAGCTGGTGATGATATGTGAGAATCGCCGAGTAGAACTGCTCTGGATAATCTTGAGGCACTGACGATCCTTTTTGCTGCTGCAATGCTTTCAAAACCTAAAGGATACCGGTAACTGTTAGTACTATAAACTTACTTCAACTTAATGTGAACTCCTACCTCCGTCGGCGTCTTGTACGTGCTCACGAGCTTATAAGCTGTGATAATGCCGACGCCACTGACAGACGGACAGTAGTCGCATCCAGCCAGCACGCACAGTTGAATAAACTAAATAGTCAAAGTCCACAATCTGTCAGTGGGTTCTCCACTTTAGCCCCTACAATACATCAAACCATTTCTTCGGTCCACCCAACGAACGACAGCTCTTCATTTGCACCCAGACTTCTCCTCTTGAGTTCACTGCCCCATCCATCCGGACTCAGCTTAAACAGCACTGTCTTGACGCCATACGGGACACAGTCCGAATCCTGCGAGATAACCACGTCCACGATCTTCTGTTTCGATAGAAACGCCAGCTGAGCGTCTGCCTCGTACGGCGCGACGTAGAATGTGATGTTCATCCGCCGCAGCACGGCGATGAGTTTCATGGCCATGTCATTGGTCACCGAGACAGCTCTCGTGCAAGCTGAGAAGATTGCGCGAGGGTCCTGATCCTCTTCTTTCGCCTCTAGCAGCTTCTTGGCCTTGAGTTTCCAGTCTCGGCGAGATCTATTGCGACAATGCCACAGTGTTCTAGTTATATGAAGCTAAATTTTAGCTGCAAGTTCATCTGTCGGACCTGCCACGAGCAGCGTTCTCCTGGGCTTTAGATGGTAGTGGAGCTCCATCAAACACCATAATGGGTGTGATCTTGTGCTCTTGGAGCAGCTTAATATGCTGGATGGCGTAGTTTAGGTACCTGTTGCAGGTACAGTTGCACTTTTTAGCACTAATTTTAGGATGGGAATGCTAAAACGGAGGTTAAATCGTTCCGCACGCATCAGTTGGTCTCCCCAGCACGAGGTCCACGGGGCAGCTATACGCGCCCTTGTACAGCCAGTCAGAGGCATCCACACCCACCGTCTTGCCTGCATACTTGGACACGTGCACCTGGTCCGTGACGCTCTTGAGCACCGGCAGCAGGCCCGTCACGCCCATCGCTAAAGCTTCGCGGCCTTTGGCGGCAGCTTTGACTTTGAATCTGGCGCCAATTTTAGCTCCTACGATTGGATTAAACTTTGAAAAGACCGTCACTCTTCAGCAACATGAATGGGCGAAGTTTTGGCCAATAGAAATAGTATGCGACGTGTGAAGGAGGTGCAACTTTGGTGAATGCATGTCTTTGGCAAGTTGTTGCCTTTTTTGTAGCGGCGAGCATGCTTGCCACGCCTCGCCTCATTTCCTGTTCCACCGGCTACAATTCGCCATGCCGCTTACACTCGCTCAAGCTCAGCGCAACTCGCGCAGTTTGTACCGTCTCATCCTTCGCGAGAGCCGCCAACTCGAACCCAACACGCGTGAGTTCTACCGTCGATTCGCGCGATCCGTACAGGTAACTAGGACAGCCAGGATACTTAGTTGTTACAGCAGCAGAGTTAACTATGGCACGTTGTTGGTTCTGTTGCAGGGTTTCCAGAGCCACGCGAATGATACGGATCCGACTGCCATTCAAGAGCACATTCGCCGCGTGGAGCAGGATATCCACTGCGTGCTGCTGGACCACGGACTGCACTCTTCTTAGAGCCAAAAGTGAGGATCATTGTACATAATAAATTCTTCAGTGCACCTTTATTACCTTAACGACTTAACTCGGTCCGATTGCAGCTGCCGGGCTTAAGTTGGGGACAGCAGGGCTAGCAGCTGCAACATTCGACGGAGCTGTAGCATTGGCTGCCTTCGGTCGCGTGTGCTTCTTACTTGGCTTGCCTTTACCTGAACGCTCAGGCCACTTATCTTCGCAGAACGACCGTGCAGCGTCTAAAAAGGCCTTCCACGCTTCTCTGCCTAGAGCATCAAAGATACGAGGAGGCAGCTCGTCCCGACGTAGAGCGTTCATGATAGCCGTGACGTTGGCGTTAAAATCTCGATCCAGAATCATTGCGTCCTTCTCCAATAGACAGATATCTGTCGGGTACTTAATAGCTCCCATGAAGAACAAGGCTACCATAGGAAGCTCAGCGTTCTCCAACAACAACCCGCAGTTGTCCATCACCTGCTTTAGACGTTGCTGAGCACTGAGCACTTCCAGATAGTAAGTATACGTCTTGGCTAGCTGCTTAAGTAGCGCGTCCACTGGTTGGCTTTCTGGTAATTGGCTCGGAGTCATCACATTCATCGGTCTATCGATCTCAGCTCTCTCCGTTGTGTCAATGAACTCTTGGAGTCTGCTGCGAAGCACTTTACCTCGTGCTTCCAGTACTATACCAAGCATGATATCAATCACATCGTGCTCTTCCTTGCACGCCAGCACCCAAGCTCCCACTTCCTTCAGCCTTCCGTACGCAGCATTCTCTCGCAGCAGAGCGATGTAGAATCGCCAGTACTTCAGTCGATAATAATCATACTTCATTTGTCGTTGATTCAGCTCCTCAAACTTCTTCGCTGTCGGAATGTATTCGGAAAACCAGATCGCTACAACCTGCGGTCGCCTCTTGTCGAAGATGGGAGCCATTTCTTTTAACGCTCTTGCTGCTGCGTCAGAAGGACCCACGACTTTGTCTTCGCTTCGACGAGCTTGCAACGCATTGAGCAGTGCGGTAACGTTGTCGTTCTTGTATGTACTTTGCTCAAGCGCCGAATAGTAAGTCGACAGCCAGTACACGATACGTGCCAGCACATAACGAGACGGATGGAAGTATCGGTCTTCGTCTGGAATGGACTCCAGCGCCTCGATAATATTCAGAGCAAGCCAACCTCGAGCGAGAGTGACGTTTAATTCACGCACGGAATCATCACGTTCAGCTTCCAATAGCAGCGCAAGAACCTCGTCCTTCCTCGAGCTGGTGTTAGTATCGGGCTCTGTAGTCTTGGAGCTGGTGTCCTTCACAGTATCAGAGACGGTTGATGCCTGGCTGTTCTTCTCATCACCAGCGGAGTCGACACTATCGTCGTCTTCCTCTTCATCTTCTTCGTAAAAATGGCTACATACCAAGCGCAACGCCGCTGTAGACGGAGACTCGCTGACTGTGAGGTCTATCCGCAATGCTTGAAGCGAATAAAATGCGTGAACGAGAGCGTGCTCCCTGTCGCCTTCTTCGCGAGCAGCTTCGGCTTTAGAGAAGCAATCAGCCATCTCCGTTGCAGTCGCTAATGCCTCTGGGTCTGACTGTTGTAGACGCAGCTCGCACCATCGTCTTTTCTTCAACGTCTTGCCGATCATGTAGAGCAGACGAAAGTGATCTTCATGGGCGTCCTCGTTGGACTCACAGATCTCCAGACCTCGGCGGAAGTATGCGAGCGTCTTCGTGACTAAACGTGAATACACATCACGAGGAAACAGTGCGAGGTTCATCTCCTTCATTAGAGAATACTCCTGTAAAACATTATACAGCAGCAAGCCGCACTCTTCGTTGCACTCGATAATCTTGTTTTGCAATTCATCCAGCTCTTCATCAACGTCATCATCTTCATCACTTTTGTCTTGTAACATTGCCTTGTGCTTCTTAACGGCCTCTTCAGCCAGTCGTGCAGCCATCTCGAAGCATCTTCTAGCAAACTCAATCACTTGTGTGATATATGTCGTGGCAAACTCTTCAATGGGGATCTTGTTCTGAGGTATTTGGTCCTGGACAGCACTCTCTTTGGACTCTTCTTTTGGATCTTTAGAGAGCTTGATGCCAGTTTTGTGTCCATCGTTGTCTTTACCTTGCCACTCTTTGATTCTCTTGAACAAATCCCAACCCAATACGACGTTCTTGAACGAAAACATGTCGGAGTCACTCTGTCCTTGAGTGCTTTCCAACGAGTCTGTGGCGAATTTGGCTGTATACCACTGGAATGCTTGGATTCGAAGCTTCCGTCCGAGCACAGCCGCGAATGCATCCGTAGCAGCATGATACAGTTCCTTCATTGTCTTTCCCAAACGAATCCACGAGTCGATTCGATCCGGATGGTAATACAACACGTCTTTCATCAAAAACTCCACCCGTTCTCGTACATGTTGCTCCATCTCCGTCAACTCTCCAAGATTTCCTCGTCGTTTGACACGTCCGAGAATGAAATTTGCCCCCATCAAGTACCATAAATGGTCCAAACAGGCTTCATCCGTCGACGTAGCTGTCACGTTGCTGGTATCAAGAGGGAACGGTGGGGAGACATTTCCCTGTAGCAGACCGCGTGGCGTTAGATACGTCTCTAACAGTGGAGAGACCGTAGCTGGATGTACTGAGAGTGCAGCGAAGCTTGAGTCAGAGAGGGCATCTCGTACAGCATACAGGAGCTTGAGTCGCTCTTTCTTCTGACCATTGTTCTTCGGCTTTGTAGCTAACAGAATCGGCACCGCAAAGCGAGCCAAACGCAGCGCGTCCTCATGTTTAACAGACTGTTTTGCGCTCTGGAGTGACGTAAAACTGGTCCCCGTTTTGTGGTCTTCACATCCAGGTAGAACCTGCACATCGTACAAGCAACGATAGCACTGACAGACCTCGTTTTGGAATCGATCTTGAGCTTCTTCTTCGTCCTCTTCAGCACTGTCTTCATCGGATTTAATCGAAGACTTTGTGCTGTCCCGAACGCTTGTCTTCTGCTGGACGAACTTGCTCAGCAGCACTGTGCACGTCTCGAGGAAGCACGCGCTCTTACAAGCATCTCCAGAAGTCTCAGTAAAGTACGTCAAGCTGCAGATGCCATGTTGTCCGAGTCGCTCGTGAAGAAGATGAATCAACTTGACCAGTTGAGTAGGTAACGTAGTTGGATCTGGTCGATAGCAACTCTCAAACAGGAGCACGAACAAGATGGCTCCGTTGCCAAACAGTTGCTTTGGTGTCTTGGCATCACTTCGAGCCATCGTCTCTTCCTCTTCTTTCATCAATGTACAGCACAACGTCATAAGGGCAGATCGTTTCAGCAGCGGAAATGATGCCGCAAGTTCCTTATCGGCCTGAAAGGCTCTGTTCAAGAAGCGTAGTAATTCCTCGAGAACCACCCGAATTCGATCACGACGTGGCTGCTTCCTCTTTACAGGATGAGGCACCAGCGTGAACAAATTTCGGAATTCTTCACACGATAGCGACCGAATCACGTGCAGCAGTCGAGCCATGGCATCCACTCCAATCCTTCTATCGTCATCGGTACAATCTTCCATGTCCAACACAGTTCGCATCATCGTCAGGATGTCGTTAGGAGAATCGAATCGCAGGAGAATCGAGGGCTTCAGACATCTCACACACAGTCCACGTAGCAACAATCGATGGTCCCGGTTGGCTATCCGTTCAGAGTTGTTTTGGATAAGCTGCGCTAGTAAGAAATCCGTAGCAGCGAGAGCGTTCATACATGCTTCATCTATCAATTCATCAGTCGTGTTTGTTTCTTTCTTCACCTCCAATCCATCCAGAAAATCGACCACAAAGTAAAGACTAGTCAGCAGGAACAGCACTGTGTCTTCATCCGTAAACTTGGAGCTTTGACCAATTGACTCGAGCAACATCTCGAAGAGTTTTTTGCTGTGGCCACCACGAGGCAGATCGTCGTTGTCAGTCTCGAATTCGTTCAAAAAATCCGCTATTCGAGGAGATTGATTAGAAGGGAAGAAGTGTCCAAGCAGAACCGAGACGACGCGATCATGATCTCCAGCTTCAAATAAGCGTCGAGCCTCGGAACAAACGTCTGAGAAGCGCAATCCGGAGATCTTCTCGTCCAAAATCGTCAACGTGATCTTGTTTCCAGTCTTTTGATTGGGCAAATCGACTCGAAATGAGGCAGCACTGTTGCCATCGTCTTCGTTGAGCTCAAGTAGTTTCTCTCTGCATTTAATGAAGTAGTGCTGCGCCATTTGAGGGTATCCGCAACGCTCGTACATGCGCGCAATAAGCCAGAGTAATCGCAGAAATTCGCCTCCTGTGGGACTCCTCGACGTTTCCTCAGCGTCCTCCAACCAGCCAAACTCGAACAGCAGCTTCTGGGCTTGAGATAACTGAGTTTCCACCAGTTTCCTCATCCTACGTCGCTTTTTCCCACGGATAGGCTGCTGTAGAATCGTATCGAAGTGTAGTTCCAATAGAAAAAGCTGAGCACCGAGCGTTAATCCATTCCCTTCGAAGCGACTGCTTTGAGTTAGAGAGTGATCTGCAACGGTAATTACAGAGGATTGCGTGGGTGTTGTCACTCTAGCGACATCTAGTTCTCCATTTAGTGCCTTCTCCAGCCACGTACACACTTGGTGAATATCTTCGTCACCTCCAAGCTTCAAATGGGACCATGTACCGCAGTGGTTGAGATAGTGACGTATCCAGTCCATTACTGCACGAGGTAAAACTTCATTGTCGCTGATAAAAGACGATATCTTTCTTCCAGTCACACACTCGACACGCGGTGATACCGTCGGCGCTGTATGTTCTCGTGAAGATGTCTGTGAAGACTGCAGTTCGGTATTACTTGTAGATCCTTCTGTAGACGATAACACGAACGATACTGTCTTCGAGAGGGTTTTCTTGGTGCCATCAGAGATGATGAACTCAGTATCAACCAGCTCAACATTCAGAGGTGGCAGCCATTCGATCGAAGCAGACTCAGGTGTAGACTCCCTGTCTTGTTTGTCGATATAGTTTGGAAGGAACGCTCCCAGTCGATACGCCAGATCCTGTTCGCGGGCTTTCCTCACTGCTGCAGCATGTTCTTCTCGCAGTCGTTCCTCATTACGACGTGACTTCCTTCTGGGCTGTAGCTCCAACAGGTCACTTAAGTAAATACTGCTGTCTTGTGTGTCATTATCAGAAATTCCTGTTGAAAGAGACGTCTCCAAAGCAGCAGTAACTTTTGCTGTCTCCTTGTGTTTCGCACGCTTTGCTGGAGGAGGATTATCCTGCTTTGCTTGCTCGTCTGCATCGACCTTCTCGTCCTTCGTCTCTAAATTTTCGCTCTCTATCTCCACATCCTTCTTCACTTCCTGCTCATCAAATGCCGTCTTTATCTCCACCGCCGTCCGCACTACATCTGCATGTTCGCTCCTGTTATTCTCTTCAAATGCCTCCAATAATAATTTCCCAAGTGCTGTCCACGATGGCTGCTGCAGCTCGTAGCTCCTGGGCTGCATCCTAGTCTTCAGCTCGTCATTCATCTCTTGTTGTAGTTTTCTCCTCTTTTTCACTCCATCGTCTGCGATTTCCTCTAAATGTTGCAGTTTTTTCTTCGCTCGCTTCAACAGCTTTAAGTCTCGTGCCGTTGGAGGCCTCGCTCGTTTCTTCTGACCGTCTAGAGCCTTCAAAGTCGCACAGTGAGGGTCGTTCTGGCGCAGATAATGCGCTACTCTCTGGTACTCTTCCTCGTCCCCAATTTGGCTCAAAACTTGGACCAGTGTCTCGACCAATGGCCAGTATGTAGCGTCCACCTTAAGTCCTTCCTCCAGTGTCCTCCGCGCGAGCCACAGCTTGCCCGTCTCCAAGGCAGTTGAGGCCATCTGGTACCAGACCACGACGTCTGTGGCGTCAAGCGCTAAGGCTGCGGCGAAGTACTCGAGCGCGTTCTCGAAAGACTGCGCTTCTTGCTCCATTGTGGCCACATTCTTGTTGCATAGATACTCGAGGCGAGGACTTACGCGCACATGGCCGCTTAGTAGCTGCAGATACAGCGCCTTGGCCTCCGCGGCCTGCCGTTGCTGCTGGCAGCGCAGCGCTCGTTCGTACACAGCAGTGTTATCGGCGTCTTGAGCTTCCTCTGTGGCACGCTGCTCTGTGAGATTGGCTCGCGCGTCGCCACCAGCCACGTTCAACGCCGCCCACGACGCCATGGGTACCAACTTCTGGTGATTTTTTGGTGCTCTCCAAAAATGTTGACCCAAAAGCAAATTTATAGGTCGATTCTGTCCGTTGGATGGTATTCAGCTCAAAAATAAAACCAAAAAGATTTTTTGGGCTTAATGCCATCCGTGACCCAAAAAATGATTTTATAGGCACCTTGACACCCAAAAAGCGAATTTATGAGTACACTACCCATAAATTCGCTTTTAGGGTCACAATGAAATGGGTTTATTGAAATGATTGCACAAAAACATTCACCGCCCGGGAAGCTCTGGATATTTGGATAATTATTAATATTAAAATATTATACTAATGAAGTTCACACCGTCACAACGCCAAAAAAATGAAACTCATTCAAAGTATTTTTTTTAAAGAAACAAACTATTTTTTCTAAAAATAATTCTTTATTGCACATTCAAAAAAGTGTTTCTTTTACGTTTTGAAATGCTAAAATACTTTTTTCAAAACGAAAGATTGCAAGTATACAATTCTAAGTCAAATAGGCGAAATGCAAAATTGCACTGGAAATCGCCGTGCATTTTGCACGAAACATTTTACGCCTCGTGCGGAACAATCGCTAACGAGGTTTAGAAATCGGTTAACGTGTATTATTTGACTTTAAGCTTCTGGGCTAATGCTCTCTACGATAAATGACCAATTTTCGGTCACCATCGGTCGCTGGACTGGTCGGTGTGTCGCTCACGTTCACGTTTAATGTAACTCGGCTCCTGAACTGAACGATGCGCATTACCTGTTAGGCCTGTTCTCAACCGAGGCGTCAGAGGGACGCATGCGTTGCATGCGTACCCTAAACATCGCAATTCAAAATACTTGACTATCATTGGCAGAATAATAGCCAGTCATGTTGTGTTCTAGCAGTTCTAGCCTGGCGATAAACCGCTACCAAACTACTGGTAATAATAACGAGCCCTCCTAGGGCTATGGTCAAAGCACGCAGATTGAGCGACAAGGCGGGGACGTTCCTGCTGGTAAAAGTGGTTTAATCGCGGAGGGGCATCTTGTGTGGGAGCCGTACGAAAAAAATCCGGTGGACCTCAGGCTGCGGCGTTGGCGCGCAGCAGGGATGCATCGTCTCTCTCGCTAAGGTCCCCTTGGAGATCTTTGAGGATACAGAGCCATTGTTGTTGCGATCTTTACTGTAAAACACTGCTACCTTGGAGGTTAAAGGGAGAGTATAACTGTTGGGTTAGGGGAGGTCTTTGATTGACTAAAACTCGAACAAAACGTGCTGCCTATGGGCCGATTGCACAGCCTAACAAATAACAAAGTGGTTGTTAAGCACGCATGCGTCCGAAAAACGCTTCGGTTGAGAACGGGCCTTAGTTGCAGATTCGGATGGTGATTGTAAGCGTATGCAGATGTTCACGGAGATGCCGACGGAGGCAGTTCTGACTAACACTGCAGCGGAGAAACCGCCGTTCGAACTCCATCACGATGGACGGCGTGGACATCAACAAGCTCACGTTGCACGACTTGAGTTCCAACATCGCTCTCATCCAGCAGGACCCCGTGCTGTTCTTGGGCACGGTGCGTTCCAATTTGGACTCGTTCGACCAGTTCGTGGACGAGCAGAATGTTGTAATTCAGCGTCGTTGTAGAAGGCCATCATCTCGCTGCACGATTCCGTGGACGAAAAGGGCTCGAATTTCAGTGTGGATGAACGCCAGCTCGTGTCCATTGCTCGTGCACTGCTGATGCGTTCGAAGGTGGTTCTGATGGACGAGGCCACTACATCGATCGACCTTGAGAAAGACCATCGCTGACGGTTCGACAGATCCAGCAGAGTATCCGAGAAGAGCTCCGAGACTGCACGGCGCTGACGATCGCGTGCCCGATCAACACTCGGACCGCATTTGGCATTGAAGGAGTGCTCGGTGGTAGGATTCGGTTGCTAACGGAGTTGCATCGTAGCACTTTCACCATA